TAAATAGATTTTTTTCCATAATTTAAAGTAAAACTGGCAAGTAAATTTTTTAAAACTTCAAAAAAAATTAAAAATTTATCATTTTTCTCCTGTACATTATTTTTTTAAGCACGGAAAAAAAATAAATAAATGGATAGCATCAGGTATACTTTAGCCTTAAATTTACTGATAGAACATTTCACTGTAAAAATGTGCTTTCAGGTAATTAAAAAAAAAAATGTTAGAAAATTGAAATATTTATTTAAAAAGTTTAGTTATTTACTGGTAAAAAATTAAATTAAAAAAATATATATAAAATAAGTAGACCAATCTTTAGCAGAAGAAGGAATTGATCAGGTAATTACTTGCCAAAAAATCCAATTCGTGAGGGAAAAATCTTCGATTTTAGTTTTATCCTTATCGAAAAAAAAGTTGCTGTATCGAAATAACCCACGCTTTATCACTTGTCAATAAAGAATTTATAAATTTTTCACTTAAAATTTCGATTTTTCTTTAACATTTTCTAGCTCGAAACAACTTCAAAATGAAATTTTTTAACGTGTTTTAAGTAATATAAATTGAAAAAAAAGTAAAGAAAATATAATATTTTATTACTTTTTTAAAAAAATGATTAAAATTATATTCTAAAACTTTAAACAATGGCCATTGAGAAGACAAAAACTGGCAGTTGTTAGGAGGTTAATTTGGATGTATTTCTGTTCCAAGTTTATGAAGAAGTGACTGCTGTTTAGAAATGGCCGTTGTTAGAAAGTGGTCTTTATTGGAGATTCGACTGTACTATAATATAATAAAATATAAAAAATACTACATTTTTAAGGACTGTATAGGATATAAGATAATAAAATGCAGCTCTATATTGTTTATAAGTTTAATTTTATATAAATTCTTCCCAATTTTTAAGTTAATTTCATAAAATCTCTTTAGGAATTCCTAGTTAGTTCCTAATTCCAAACGCTATATAGAATCCTACATTAAATTATTAACGAGATATTTATCAAAAACACGAGACAAGAAAGGGAGAAATAATGAGAGAAAAAGAAAGAGGATGAGGAGGAGAAGGAGAAGTGTGTCGAGTTATCAATCTTTTTAAACGAAATAATACTAAATTTTTGAATTTTCCATGAGTTTTACGTACAAAATATGAGCCTACATTTTTTTTAAATTGCTAAATGTGGAAAAATATACATTTTTGATTATATAGAGAAGTAAGAAGAGTGAGAAGAAAGAAACAGAAATGGGAAAAGGGAGAGAAAGTGGAGGAGGAGGAGAAGTAGGAAGAAAAGATAGAGGAGAAAGAAGAGAAGGAAAAGAAACAGGAGGAGAATGAGAAATACATTTTTGATTATAACATACGAAACTTTCGATAGAATTCCAATTTTTGCATACATATTTTATTGAGGAATATAAAAAAATTAATTATCTCATTAAACTTTTAAAAAAAATTAATAAATTTCACTAAAAGTTGGTTCCATAAAAACTTACTAATTTTTATAGAGATACAAGAAAATACTGTAAACACTTTATCTTGTTTGCATTGAAATTATAATATAAAACTACACCGAGTAATTAGTTTAAGTAACGATTTAATACATAAAAGTTATCTTTAATAATTTATTTAAGTAAATATAATATAAAAGTTTTAAATTACTATTTTAATATACTTGTAAAGTTTCGATTAATTTAATTTTTATCTAATTAAAATTTTTTACATCTAAATTTTATGTTTTAATTAAATGAACGAAACCAATTCCATTTTAAATATATCATTATCTCTTTAATGTAAGTATAATCTTATAATGGAAACAACACTATATAATTTAATTTTGAAGCTCTTTTCATATATTTAAGAATTTAGTATAATTTTTATTTCATAAAAATTGAAAAATCACGAATAGACTCTGTTTCCTCCTTTTCCATCTTTCCTATCCTTTAGCCTTCTTTTTTCTTTCATTTTTCCTNAACACGAGACACGAAAGGGAGAAATAATGAGAGAAAAAGAAAGAGGATGAGGAGGAGAAGGAGAAGTGTGTCGAGTTATCAATCTTTTTAAACGAAATAATACTAAATTTTTGAATTTTCCATGAGTTTTACGTACAAAATATGAGCCTACATTTTTTTTAAATTGCTAAATGTGGAAAAATATACATTTTTGATTATATAGAGAAGTAAGAAGAGTGAGAAGAAAGAAACAGAAATGGGAAAAGGGAGAGAAAGTGGAGGAGGAGGAGAAGTAGGAAGAAAAGATAGAGGAGAAAGAAGAGAAGGAAAAGAAACAGGAGGAGAATGAGAAATACATTTTTGATTATAACATACGAAACTTTCGATAGAATTCCAATTTTTGCATACATATTTTATTGAGGAATATAAAAAAATTAATTATCTCATTAAACTTTTAAAAAAAATTAATAAATTTCACTAAAAGTTGGTTCCATAAAAACTTACTAATTTTTATAGAGATACAAGAAAATACTGTAAACACTTTATCTTGTTTGCATTGAAATTATAATATAAAACTACACCGAGTAATTAGTTTAAGTAACGATTTAATACATAAAAGTTATCTTTAATAATTTATTTAAGTAAATATAATATAAAAGTTTTAAATTACTATTTTAATATACTTGTAAAGTTTCGATTAATTTAATTTTTATCTAATTAAAATTTTTTACATCTAAATTTTATGTTTTAATTAAATGAACGAAACCAATTCCATTTTAAATATATCATTATCTCTTTAATGTAAGTATAATCTTATAATGGAAACAACACTATATAATTTAATTTTGAAGCTCTTTTCATATATTTAAGAATTTAGTATAATTTTTATTTCATAAAAATTGAAAAATCACGAATAGACTCTGTTTCCTCCTTTTCCATCTTTCCTATCCTTTAGCCTTCTTTTTTCTTTCATTTTTCCTCTCTATTTCTTCCTTTTTTCTTTCTTTCTTCTGCTTCATTTCTTTATTCATCTTTCTTCCTATTCAATATCTTTCTCCCAGAAAGAAAAGAAAGGGGAGGAGACGACAGATGAGCAGAGGTAGAGACAGAATAGGAAAAGAAGAAAGTATAGGCGAAAGGAAGAAAGAAGGAAAGGAAGAGCTCTTCCACCTTTCCTTCTTCTTTTCTTTCTCATATATCTACTTTTTTCCTGTTTTATCTCATTCTTTCTTCATCCTTCTATCCTCTTTCTCCTTCTCCTTTTTCTTTTGCTTCGTTTTCTTCATCTTATTTCTTCCTATTCGATGTTTTTAATTAAAGAAAAAAGTGGAATGAGGTGGAAAAAGAAAGGGAGGAGAAGAAGATAATGGAAGAGAGAGAGAAAAGAAGGAAAAAGAGAGGAGAAGAAGGATGAGAAGAGGTAGAAATAGAAAAGAAAGAAAGAAGAAGAGGAGAAGGAAAGAAACAGTTCCTCCTCTCTTTTCTTTCTTTTTCATATCTTCTTTTCCTCATCCTTCTCATCCTCCTCATTCTTACTTCTTTTTCTCTTTTTTTTTTCTTTCCTCTTGATCATATTTTATAAGAACATCGCTTTTTTTTAAAAGATAATCTCCTTAAAGAACCGATTTTATAATTCAAAAAAGATCATTTTACTTTAATAAATTTACATAATTTATTATTATCTGTTAAAAAATATATCGTGTAATACAACACTTTTTTTTCTCTCTTTTATAATCACATCTTTATTTTATATATATATATANCACTGAAAGTGTCGCCTTCGATATCGATCAAGTGCATCATTGCATACTCGCACAAACCAACCCAGTCTAAAACATTTATGGGTATAAAACATAGAACTAAATATATATATATAAGGAAATTAGATAAAGAATTACTGTACCTGAATATGCTATGCAATATGATGTAAATAGATTAAGGATAGAACCTTTAGTAAATAAATAAATAAAATAATAAGACAGTTATATTTAAGATTAACTTAAAATTATAGCTAAGTATATAAAAAAGTCATTATAATAATAATAGGTTCAACAAATTCAGTTCAATGTTGGCTATGGTATGTCTTATATTCTATGTCTTTCCTTCCTGAATCTCGAAAACGATATTAAATAAATAAACTTATGGATTAGAAGTGGAAAGGATATGGACAGGACCCGATTAGCCATATACAAACGTAGCCACATAATTTCTATAATACTTTCATGCTCACATAGAAGACATACAATCCGGACAAGAAGATTATATATCGACAATATATTTTTATGTTTTAAAGTAATATTTTTCTTTTTAAACCAGAAAATAAAATTGAAATAATTACAGAACTAGTTATATGAATTTTACGAATTTAAAAAATTAAATATAGGTCAGAAAGAATTATTTAATTATTTTTGATGTGTAAAAGAACCATTAAGAAGAATAGCATTTAAATAACAATTTAAATAAACTTTTATAAAGCTTGTTCCCTACTGAGAAATAATTACTTGCCATAAATCTCAGCACAAATTACATTATTTAGTTTGAAGTATATCATTAAGTACCATAAAATTTAAGTAAATAAATTCACTAGTTAACACTTCCAGGGCAATTACTGTACGAAAAATGCACCTGTTAATATCTAAATATATATATTAACATATAGAAAACGTGGTAAACGTTAACAATGAATAACTCGCAAGAGATAATCAGATTAACTTCTTTACATTTAGATTAGAAATGAATTTATATTATCATCTTATGTAATCATTGTGATTAGTCTGGCGTCATCATTGTGAAATCTTGTGTAGAGAACGAATGTAGAAAAATTCTGTGGCAGTAAATGAAACTTTGTTAATGGAAACGTATGTAAAAATACATTTTAAAGAAGTTTCTTACATTTATTATTAAAATAATAAGAAAAAAAATATTTTAGAGTTAATGAAAGCGTGTTTAATTATTAGATATATTTTAAAATGATTTTTAAAGAGTTTTCTAAAGCCTAGAAATTAATATCCAGTCAGTGTTACACGCATGCGTTTGCTTTCTTATCGGTATAGAACTACTCTAGTTCTGTCTGTGGTCAATACAGACGTTTCGTGAATGAGAGAGATGAAGATTTTCTCAGCTAATCTTGTAATTTTGCTCATTCCTTACTGTTTATCTATAGAAAACAGGTCAGTATCAGTTCATATTTATTAAATATATATTTCTAGTTTATAACTATCACTCTATATAGTGGCAGCTTTGTGTACGTGCCTATGTGTGCCACAGGTAAATAGTTTCTTCGTGGATCAACTATTACGCTAATTATTATATAAAGAATGTTTACTTCTGCAATAATAACCTACAATTTTCTNCGAATGTAGAACAATTCTGTGGCAGTAAATGAAACTTTGTTAATGGAAACGTATGTAAAAATACATTTTAAAGAAGTTTCTTACATTTATTATTAAAATATTTTTTTAATTTTATTTTCCCGGCTCTTATGCATACATAACGAGCAATTATTTCTTGTGAAATCGTCACAATGCCGAGCTGAAATTTTTAAATCATATTTTTCATTTATTTAATTTAAAATATATGCTCTCCACCTCAAATTAGTAGTGATTTGCCCCTGTATATCATACTTTTCCGCTAGCAATAAAGTCGTGCCGGTCATCTATCTAACACCTTTCACGGGAAAATATTTGAATTGAAATAACGTGACTCTCGGTTTACATCAGCGGTTCTTATATAGTTAATCGGGCCTCCCTACCTCAATCTTTCCACATCTGGTCTTGAATTTCATCCGCTCTTGAGAATAAGGAAAGACAACGAACGGACAGGCGACAGTGGGCATTTATAGGTTTGCAATTTTTTTTTTAAATTGCAGCCCAAGTTCTGGAATCGAGTCAAATTTGACCATCTGAGTGTTTAGAAAATCTCCACGTTTGGAGATATGAATCCAAAAATGCCAAAAAAGGGAAAACATTCGTGGGTCTCTCTCTCTTTCTCTCTTTCTCACAGTGTGTGTTTTGACCTCTATTTCGTTTAATATCTGAGAATGGGGCGAAGATTAAACAACGAAACTTGGCATGATAGCTTGTGTATAAGGAGCATTGATGATATTAAATTTTGGTGGTTAAAGACCGAGGATGTGGGAGATAGAAGGAGATCATGTATCATATCTCGAAAGGGGTCTGGCTTAAAAGATTTTAGTCATTATTAACCATTTGCAATTTTTTTTTATAAAACTCATCCTTACCCTCAAAATTATGTTTTCCCCCATTTTATATGAAAAAATTTGAAAAATTTGAAAAAAATGTAGACCTATAAATTCCCACAGTCGTCGTTTTGTCCATCTTTCCTTAATCTCGAGAACAGTGTTAGATAGAGAAAATTCGAGACCAGATATGGAAAGCTTAGGTTAACTATATACTAACTTTCGGTATAGAACTGAAGTCACATGATTTCAAATCAAAAATTTTTCTGTACACGGAGATAAATAGATGATTCACACCACTCTATTGTTAAAGGAAAAGTATAATGTACAATGGCAAGCCATTACTAATTTAAGATGGATAGCATATATTTCATAAATTAAATAAATTAAGAATGTCTAAAAATTGTGACCACGTCACAATAGTTTTTGCTTGCAATAATTAATAATAAGATTTTATTAAAAAAATCTCATAATAGATGGCGCCACACACAATTTTATTTATTATGATTAATGGTACTGTATAAGTTATTTTTAAAATAAAATTATATATATATATACATATACATACATACATACAAACTCGATTATTTTCAAATAAAAAATATTGTTTTGTAAATTTTAAGTAAAGATGTTGCTGATAAAAAATTCTATTTAAATTTATTTTAATAAAATAAAAATTTTCCGATTATATTCTTGATTAAAAATGTATTCGATGCTTTTTCTTATCTGAAGATTTATTTATAAACAATCAATCATAAAATGTTTCTCTATTTTTTTTCTAATAAACAGTAAATTATATTACAATAAAAAACGATATTGTATTTCTTAAAAAGAAATTATTATTAAATTATATAAATTTTTAAATAAAAAAATTCGTTTAAAAAATATTCTTGATAGAGAGATTCTAAATTTATTTTTAAATTAATAATTTAGAAAAATTTTTTGCATCTTATTAATTAATTCTAAAAAAATTATTTAATTTACAGTAAATTAAATTAAACTTATTCTAATTTAAAAGGATGAGCATTTTATATATAATATTTATTAAATTTTATTAAATACAAAGTGATCCAAAAGTCTGTTAACCGAGATATATGTTAATATTATTAGAAACGGTGCATTTGTGATTCAGCAGCTTCCAATAAATTACGAGCTATTTTTTTAAACAGATTTTAATCGTTCTTAAACATAAATATCGGTTAAGTGACATATGGGCCATTCTTTATTACATAACATTAAATGACATTAAATGGATTATAAAAATATAAATATTTTTTATTAATTTATAAAGAGATAAACTGTAGATGTTACAACTGCATTCCTTTAAATACATTTCCATAAATTAAAAAAAAATTAAAGTAAATAATATTTTATAAATATAGGTAGCTCTTTGCTTTATATTTAAGATATTAATCGATATATATTTTAATAATAATTAATTAAAGATTGTCTTTACGGTTATTAGCTGAAAAATTGGAAATATATCGAATAATGTTTACTGTTGTCAATTTCTTTCCTCTAACAATTAAAATAAATCTTCGAGTCTATCTTACTTATATCACAGAGGACTGCCTGTATTCATTTTTTCCTAATTTATTTCTTTTATTCCCAAATTTTTTCTACTTATTTTTGTTCATTTTATAAAAGCATAAATATTCTGTGTTCTGTTTTCATGCTCCATGCAATTCCTATAAAGATCATTAATTTTGCATAGACGTAAATTGAAATCTGATGTATAATTCAAAACGAGTTGTATTATTCACGTTTTAAAATGTAAATAAATTAGTTATTAAGTCGCTAAAATATTATAAAAATTGTGTATTAATTTTTGATTATAATTATTTTGTTAGTAAGAGATACGAGATTGTGTACTTTACTTAATTAAATTCAGTTAATTCAACATTACTTATTTTTATACATTGTCTTTAATTTAAATTATTTTATACCAGAAGTATAAATGTATAAACTATAATTTAAATAGAAAGGCTTCTTTCCCTTTCATTTTTAAAACATTCCTACTAAATTTAATAGCTTAGAGATGGGTTATTAAGCGATATATAAGCTCTAAAGGAACAGTTCTCTTAAGTTTAGACAGGATAGGAACTATTAATGCTCCTTCATTGATATAAAATTGATTCTATCTCAGCTATCATGAAGAATTTCTATATATAATATAAAATATACATAGAAAATAACTGTTAAATTATAAAATTTACAGTATTTTAATTAAATTTTTATGTTAAAATAAAATAAAATTGTTCTATTAGTATTTTAAAAGACGTATTTAAAATCAATTTTTGTAGGAGCAGCAGTACTATATCAGACTTGGATTTGTTGGATAAAGTGTTAAAAGGTTACGACAGAAGAGCATTACCAACCAGTCATTCAGGTAAAGCATGTTAAATGTTAATATTTACTTAAATTAAACATTAATTGCATTCTTGCATTAATATTATTCTATCCGATTCAGATTGTTCTTTACAGATAAATTATATAAAGATGATGCTAAAACATAAATCGTTAGGACGATTATCTTGTATTATTAATTATAATCTTTGTGTTGTTAATTTAGTTTATTAATTGTGTTAACTGTTGTCATATTTATGAATTGTTTTCTATTAGGCTGAAATTTTCAAATTGCAGATCTATAAATTATCACTTGTGTCAGTCTGTATGTCCTTCCTTACTCTTGACATTTAACTATTTAAATTAATTCCGTTCTCCAGATTAAGAAAGGACTGACAGACAGACAGTCGAAGGATCCGATTAACTTTATTAAGGTTATTTCAATTCAAAAATTTTCCCTGAAAGGTGTTAGATACATTATCTGCACGACTCTATTGCTAGCAGGAAAAGTATCATGTACAGGGGAACGATACTACTAAAATCGAAAGCATATATTTTAAATTAATTTACATAAAAATTTTTAAATAAACAATTAATAATTTGTCATATAAATAATTATGTAATATTACAATAAATATTTGACAAGAAATCAATAATTTTTACACAAAAAAACTGGTTGAGTGTTTACTAATAATTTTATGTAAACGTAATTTATATAGGTTATAATAAAAAGTACCGTAAACCTCTGAACAACGGCCATTGACAGTACCATAAAAACAGGTGTTAGGACGTAGCCTTTATTAAAAGTTCAACTGTGTTTATATAAATTTATATCTGAATTTATTAAAAATTTAATTAGAATATTTCTAAATTTATAAATAATTTTTCAGTAAAATATCTCTTTATTCGAGAGATCATTCATTAATACATCAATGTGTTTTCCTCCTCGAATTTCTTATCTTTTAATGATAAAAACTAGGATTTATTTCATATAAAATATGAAATATTAACGAAGATTTTATTTATTTCATGTTTTAGAGGCAAAATAGTTTTAAAAAATTGTTTAAAAAATCGATAAAAATGACAGCATTCGGTCAATCATATGCATGAAATGTTTTGCATCCGTTCGATTTCATCCTTTTAAATTCGCTTTCAGTCCCAAAGTCCCTACCAAAATAACAAACTAAAGTTTGGAATTTTGTGAAAACCGTAAACATAATTCAACATGACATTACTCCTTTGAGGAAAGGGCCATATTCTGTATAAGGCGAAAATCACATTGAATGAAAATACTAAAACGTTATAGAAACACGTAGAGATTGCTGTGAGATTTATGACTTTAAAAGGAATAAATTAAATTAAATATTCAATTCTAATTATTTAAATTGTTTCGTGCTATCGAATTAATTTTGATACGTTTATAAGAAATATTCAATTTAAAAAAGTTTGATTTGTTTTAAATTAATTTTAATAGTGACGTGTTAAATTTTATAAATTATTTTTATTACTCTATTATGTATTAATTAGATTGTTTGACATACAAAAAGAATTAGCACTTTCGTAAATGAAAATAATCGATTCTTCTGTCATTATAATTCTTATTTTAGTATTGTTTTTAAGGTTTTCAACTTGATATTCACTTTTTCTCTTTGCTAGGAAATAGAAATTTAATTATAGGTATTATTTANATTGTTTGACATACAAAAAGAATTAGCACTTTCGTAAATGAAAATAATCAATTCTTCTCTTATTATAATTCTTATTTTAGTATTGTTTTTAAGGTTTTCAACTTGATATTCACTTTTTCTCTTTGCTAGGAAATAGAAATTTAATTATAGGTATTATTTAATTATAATTATTAAACTGTAAATAAATTGATTTCATTAAGAAAATCCGAACTTTACTGTTATATTTTAACTAAATAATCAATGTTTATCGGTAGAACAATTTTATAAAAAAGCTGGCACAGTTGTTGCTGGACTTTTTCGATATTCTTTATTTGTTTATATTCATAATAATTGTTACCTTTAAGTATTTAGAATGGTTTAGGAGATGTTAAGGAATGTGGCAATATCTCCCGAACTAATGGTCCGATTTTGCTGAAAATTTCTGAAAATCTTTTCGCATAATACGCAAACAAGTATGCAAAATTTCAGAATGTTTCAACTGACGATACAGGAGTTATCAAGCTTCAAAATAAGCAAATAAAAATCGCTCCACATACACTAATATCCATACATACAGGGGGGAAAGACCCTAATTTTTTTTTGCATTTCTCGACGTTTGAAGGCCTTCCAAGTCCAAAAATATAAAAATCTTGGAAAAGGGTAATTTTTTGGTCCGATTACCATACTTTCCCTGCATTATATATAACAACTGGAAAAGTAATAATTGTAACTTTTAATAATAATCATTAAATATATGTAAAATTCAAGACTGTTCAGCAATAAATAATAACAAATAATAGAAAATCAATTGCTCTACAACTTAATAATAATTATATTTAATCTGCATAACAATTGATTATTAAGAAAACTTTAAATTTACTACTATATCTTATATAATCAAAGTTTATTAGTAGAACAATTAAGAATGTTATTAATCATTAATAATAATCAATAAACAGATATTTTAAAATATCGCTCGTAAATTCGAAATTTGATCCATTACGTTGCTAAATATTATTATGGTTCAACTATGATTGAACCATTACTTCATATATTACTCCATTAACACCATTATAGCTCATATACGCGGTTATGATTTCGCACCTCTTGTGGTTTCATCGCTTCGTATTATGGCTTAATTTATCTTGTAATTCTTCTACTTTCCTATATTTGTGCCATTAAATATCCATTATTTGAATGTATTTTCCTTTTCAATTGTTGTATTTTACTTTTTACCCTCACCTATTTGTTCAATTAATCTCCTGTCGTCCATTCTAGTTTCATTTCTCTACATTAAAAATGGAGATAAACGAAACCATAATCATTTTAATATAAAATTGTATATATTATTCATTATTCTATTAACTATTCAATGAAAATCTTAATATATTTTACATCATCTGCATCATAATATAATCGTGGATCTCTTTCTCCTGCTCTTCCTTTGATGTTGACGCAAAGGAGAAGCAGGAAGAGGAGCTGAAGGAGGTGTAATTTTTATATAAAATATATAATTATTTCTAAAATATAAATATAAATTATAAAAAATATTATATTTTAATACGTTAAAATATTAAAAATAAAAATATTTCATATAATAAAAAGAAAGATTCAATTTTAATTTACCGATTTTAAATTTACTTAAACATAATATTTTTTTAGAATATTACAAGATTAATTACATTTATTTTCATCGTTTTTGTACAGAACTTTTAAAATATAAAGGAAAATTTTATATAAAGTTGCTGAGAGCATCTCTAAATTTATTGCTCGTGATGAAAGTACAGTATTTTTATTTTGCAACTGAATTGATTCTCTTTTAGAAGAACTTTTTTTTATGATAAATATTATAGAAATATATTAATAAATCAACTTGACATAATCAGGGGTTAGTTTTCTTCTAGATAAATTACGAACTAGAATTTGAAATAAAGTAGTAAACATGGGGAATAATGAGAAAAGATATTTGCAGAGGCGAATGGGATTTCCTATTATAGTAAATATTAAAGTACTTAAGTTTAAAGTAAACTTTTAGCTAGAGTACACAATCATTTTTCTCTTTAGATCATTAATTTTATTTTTTAAATTTAAATAAAATATATTAAAATTAAAATATAAAGTCGAATTGTTTCAATTTATCAATTGCTTCTTCGTGATTTAAACAATCTTTTAGAGATTTACTTTGAGAAAATTTGAATATCAAAGGCTATATTAATATCACTTTCTCGTCAGTTATATACTATATAACAGAGGGGAAAGTATGACGATCGAGCAAAAAATGGCCCCCGAAGTTTTCTTCATTTTTGGACTCGGGAGACCTTCAAACGTCCAGAAATGCATAAATAAATAAATACATAAATTGAGGTATTTTCTGTACGTAAGAATGTTAGTGGGTGTGGAGGAGCTTAATATACTTTGATCGTAACCGAAAAAAAGTTATAGTAAAGCTTAAGAGCTAACTCTAGGAAGCAATAGCTTAAAGATTTAGCGCAGAATTTAAGTTGACTGCCGTAATTCAGTTAGAAGCTAATATGTCTACGGTTGAAGAACTTAAACATGATTTAGAAGGAAGTACCATTGAATATTTGAAAGAGAAATTGGAGAAAAGGTAATTATGACGAGTTGGTAAAAAATCCGAACTAATAAAACGATTAACTAGCGCAATGTTAAGTGAAATGGAGAGTGTTAATGAAACTAGCCAGGCAAAAGAGCAACAAGTCGTGAATGATCGAAGATCAAGCTGTAAATCTAAGTCCTATGAGTATGATGCAAACTAACGTAATAGGAAAAAGTAATATTATTAATAGATAACCAGCAACAAGCAGTGAGAAACTCAAAGGAGACAGTTATTGAAGTCCAAACTGTATCTGATTTGACGAGTTCTCTTCCTGAGTTTAGTGGTACTACTACAGAGAGTGCAGCAGAGACTAGCTGAAACCCAAGTTATTCCCGCTAGCCATCAGCAAACTGAGAGGAGCAGCAAAAAATTGGTATAAAGCAATTGATTACCAGCTTAACAATTGGACTAAATGGAAGACAAGCTTAAAAAGTGAATTTGGTAAAAGACTGACGTTGAGAATGTGGTGTGACAGAGTGAAAGAAAGAGAACAAAGACAAGATGAGTGTCTCGCAGATTATTTCTATGTTAAGCTGTGTTTGTTGCGTACCAACTGTCCTGTAAATGTTACCGAAGCTGACAAAATTTATTATTTGCTGGATTGAATAAAAAATAAGCAACACAGTTACTATTGCTATTTATTATGTGCACAGTATCGCAGAAGTACAGCGTACAGCACGCAAGATAGATGGGCAGGATGCATATGAAAACTCAATTTCAACAACCTTATAAGTTCCCAAATAATACAAATGTTCGAGTAAAGAATCCTGCTGTTGCAGTTGATGATATTAAACGTACAGACGAGAAGTCGATAAGAAGAGACCCCCCAAGTGGAATGCCCAGATGCCTTTACAAATGACCCGATGTTACAAATGTCAATAGTTATGACATCTAGCCAAGACATGTCCAAATGAAAATATTGCACAGACCAAAGAATACAACGCTGAAAGAGGAAGCTCATAATAGATTAAAAACAGCAAGAAACGAATACAAAAGAGCAACGCTTTAAACATCGATGCTAACATTTCTAAACTTCATAGCCCATATATTAATGTTGAAGTGTCATTGATAGAAGAGATAAGAGCCCTTGTTGATACAGGTTTATGTCGTACAATAATTCGTCGGGATCAGTTACCTGATGGTATAAGGATGTTAGATGACGAGTTTACTGATATCAGCACGACATAGGTGAAACCAATTGGATTTGTTGATCTACCTATTCGGTTGCAAGGCCAAATCACCACAGTGAAAACAGCATTGTTCGAGAACAATCCAGTTCCTTTGACTTTAGGAATAGATTGGATCGGCCAAGCAGGAGTGAAAATGACGTTGAGGAAAGATAAATGTGAAATAGTCACAAGAGATGGTAATATGATTCCAGCACAACCTCCCATTGAAAAAGCAACGCAAGAATCATGTTTGTTACTTCCTAGTGATGTAGCAATACATATAACGGAGAATAAGACTACGTTTGAAGACCAATGGAACTATCATTCCCAATCCGAGGAATTTTACGAACTAGCAAACCCAGAGGAGTTCATACTTCAAAGCACAGAGAGCCAGGAATCAATTTTAAATGAAAAACAAAGAAAGAAAATTGAACTGCTAATTAGACAATATGATCGTATATTGCAAAATGAACTGGGAGAATATAACAGAGTTCATCATCACATAGAACTGACAGACAAAACACCGGTAAGAAAACACCATACCATTATTCTTAGAGTGCTCGAGAATTTATTAATGCGAAAATAAAGGAAATGCTTTTGTCAAACATTATACGAAAGTCAAATTCATAGTATGCATCTCCAGTCGTATTAGCCAAACAACCTCATCATGTTACGACAAAAATAAAACTTTGTATTGATTATCGGGATCTGAATAGCAAGACAAAATGCGACTCTTTTAAAAATTTTATTATAAATAAATTGTATTAAAATATGAAAGAAATTTTATCTTCTCATGAAGTTTCATCATTATCTCTTAATATCCATTAAAAATAAGACGAAAGAAAATCGAATTGTATAGAGAAAATTGGAAGTTATTGAACATTCTTAATGTTTTCTATCTATTTTCTGGAATTTGAGCTTTTCTACTGATCTAAAAATACCTTTTTATCTACAGTATTCTCTCTTAAATAGCAATTTTAAAGTTGCTATCAGGTCCATAATAGAGCCTAAGAATACAGTAAAGATATTTAAGTACATCAGGAAATTTTGACAATATAATTAAAAAATAATGGAAATTTCAAGAAAAATATTTTATATTTGAAATTATATATTATTTTTGATTATTTTATTATATTTTATTAAATTATTTATATATTTTATGTAGAGTTTACACTGCGCAGTGCCAATATTTCATTACAAGAATCTATTTAGTTTAAATTCCATTTATACATGGAGTTTAATAGATTATGATTACAAATTACAATTAATTTTCATGTAAATCTGTCAAATATAATTAATTGTATTTAATAGAAACACGGTAATATTAATTAAGTTACAATTTCTTCGATGAAAGAGATAGAAAAATATTAATTTTGTAGTAGGAATTTTAATATACAGAACGAAATTTAAGTAATAAACTACTTTANAATAATTATTTCATTGACAAAAAACTATACATTTTATTTTAATTATTAATTTTGTATTGATGTATTTCAAAAATATTTAAATGTTAATTAATCTATACATATAAAAATCAAATTATGTACAGTATGTATGTATTAGGTAGAGACTTCTACAATGATTAACGTATTTGCATCAAATTTGGCATGAATATTCTTCGATTCCCTATGTCCCACACCAACTGTCCCTAAAGCTGACACCCTCTTAACTTATTAATGAACGTTTATTAGTTAAAGGGTTGTATACTGTTTAACGTATCTGCTTGGTATGAATATTCTTCAACACCCTAGAACAAATACCGTGGGGTCTTACCTCAACTACCACTAAAGCCCATCCTTCTTAACAATTTTTATTGTTTTCAAACCATTGTTTTTATTAACCTCTCCTAACCCAATTTTACCATCTTCCACCCTCCCAAAACATCCGAGCAATGCCGGGCACACGAAAAAACAAAATAAATTCTAGTTTATTATCAATATTTTAACCACATATGTGGTTTCAGCCTGCTTGAGAAGTTTTAAATAACTTTTTTCAAACTTACAATGAGATTTCTTTATTTTGCTGAAAAATTCTAATAAATTTATTTATTTATTTTTCACTTAATACTATCTTGACTGCTAATAGCTATCAAGATAGTATCTATTAAACCGTATTTTATAAATTTACTTTAAAAATTTATCTGGTATACTTTTGTAATACTGTATGGCGAGATATATGTTGACGATTCCTCATGTCATTTCATAAATAACTTTGCTAATATAGAGTTTTAAAAGTGTATTTTATAACATTTTATAATCAAAAGTTTAGTGTTAAAGAGTTATGAATCAATAAAAAGTCATAACAGCAAAAAAATTCGAATGTCATCACGAAAAAAAAATCTGCAGAACAGACCAGAAAACAAGCAGATTGTTATATATATATATTGATAGATAACGTAAATTGTATGAACTATTGATAACTCACAGACAAATCGATAGGAGTAAATGTGATTTATAAGGGTAGAAAGCGTAATAATTTCAAAGCTTTACAAATCGGAATGTAAAGGTGTAATTGCAATAATTCAATTAATTTATACAGAATTGTAAACACGATTATATTGTTAAATGTAAAATATAAATTTATTTTAAAATCTGTCTTTTTTATAGGAGAACCTTAAAATACGTTACACAGACACTAATGATTAATGTAAGGTTTGTAAAATCTTTATTTAACGTTAATCATTAGTGTATTGAAACTGCAATTCCTGTTTTTTTGTTGATAAATAATTCTTAAATTTCTAGAATTGTAATTCTTGATTAATATTTCTATATAAATATATATATTTTTTACTATTTTTTTCTGTAATAAATTAACTGGATACGTTTACAGGAAATGCAACGATTGTATCGTGTGAAATGTATATTCGCAGCTTTGGATCGATTAATCCTGCAACAATGGTCAGTATAGCTTATTAAATTTAGCATAATGTTACAAATTTACTTTACGTTACACTTAATAATAATACAGTATTAAAATTAAGCTCATACTCGTTAATTTCTAAATTAAATTTTAAAGCAAATGCTTCGAATATGTAAAAGGAAAATGTGTTATTATTAATTTAATTATTGTTTTAGATTTTTAGAAATGAATATAACACGTTAATTTACAATTTTATTTTTCCGGCTGTTGTATATGACAGACAGAGGACCTATAAACGTTTAAAAATTCAAAAAAGTTGGAGGTATTTTCGATATATATGGATGTTAGTGTGTGGGGAATGCACGATTTTGTTCACCCAATTTGAAGCTTAATAACTCCTGTGCATTTTGGCGAAAATTTCTGAAATTTTACAAGATGCTTTGAGTATTAGGGGGAAAGGTTTCCAGAAATTTTCAGCATAATCGAACAATTAGTTTGGGTGATATGACCCCCGTTATAATGTCTCGAACGAATCCGAAGGTAATCGCAGCAATTATTAGGAATGAAATAAATAAATAAATAAATAAATAATGCCTGGAAAGTCTTGCAACAATGCTTCTTGCTTTTTTCCCGTATAAACTATGAAAATTTAAATAAGAAACATTTCTATTTTACTGAAATTTATACATTGATATTATATTTTCATTAATTGTTGTTGGATTTGTTTTAAAGTTATAAGTTATTGAATAAAATTGTAATAACATTAAGTTTAAAACTGAAACTATTTAAGCAAAATTAAATATATTTTGATAATTATTTTAAAAAATAATGTAAGTCTATGTATTACTTCGAATATGTTTCTTTAAATTTAAACTGAACTACAACTTTTGAAAATGAATATTCAAGAGAAATTCGATGATAATTAGATAAAAATATAATTTTTAAAAATATATTAAAGGGTAAAAATACTAATAACGTTTTAAATATATTATAATTAATTGAAAATGCGAAATAAACAGGAAATTCTATTAAATTTTGAAGAATCTCAAAGAATACCTCAAGAATTGCCTCAAATTTAAAACTTTAAAAATGGTATTTTCAGAAAAATATTTAATAATAATTAAAATAATAATAATAATAATAAAGTAATAAAAATCTTAACTAAAATTAGGATGTTACAATCATAATTGCTTACTATTTTTCCAAGTTTTATTACACTTTATTTATTGAAAAAATAAATGCATTAAAATATTTATTTTAGAATATTTTATTATTTACCCATGTTTGTTATAGTTGACAAAAATAGAGTAAAAAATAGTTTGAAGTTATAGGATTTTATTAAAAAATAATTTGAAAAAAACAGAAAAATTATTTCCATAAAAGATGCTAACAATATTTTTTATATAACCTAATAGAAAGTAGATTAAAAAAACTTTTGTCTAGTCTTTACACAAATTAAATAAAAATACTAATAATTTTCCTTAATTTGANAATAATAAATTATTCTAATAAATAAATATATTTATCAATTGAAATTATATTTTTGTATGCAAATTAACATGAATGATATTTTGAAATTGAAATTTTCAGGATTATGAAGTTGATTTGTATCTAAGACAAAGATGGTTCGATGAAAGGTTACAAAAACCGAAATTTTCGAAAGCTTTAGACTTGAATGATCCAAATTTAGTTCAAAAAATTTGGAAGCCTGAAGTGTTTTTTGCGAATGCAAAATATGCAGACTTTCAATACGTCACTGTGCCTAATGTATTAGTGCGTATCACTCCCGGAGGAGAATTATTATATATGTTAAGGTAAACTTAAAAATTTATGTATACATTACAATCTCGGTAATGGGATTAGAACAATGCCGAATTATTAGATTGACAGACTTTTGGAGCCAACAGTGGCTGAATGGATGTAACCATTGAATCTCGCCAGTGGGTTGGTCGCGTGGAGTTTTCTTCACGTTTGTAACTCATAACAGGGCCAGTTTCTCATAAAAAGTCCTCTCGGGAGGCATTCCCCCTCGTCCACGTGTTGCGTTGCCGTAAACAAAATAAACCAAAACAAAGCCGGATGAATTCAATGACACACGATGCTAATGATGCAGTAAAACTCCAGTTGAACTACTGATGATTGGAGTATGTTAATATCGCTGGTAACCATTGTTGTTGAGTTGGTGGTGGATTCCACTAAATTTAGTAGGAAATTGAAACGTGTGTATTTTTGGTGGTTAACTGATTTTTATATTCATGCAGAATTGTGTTGTATCGTTTTTTTAGGCTGCCTAAGATGACGAGCCTAATAATTTCTAATATCGTGCCCAAGTCCGAGATTTCAAGCAAGGGCTCTATATCATACCACGTTTAGTGAGGTTTTCAAATCTAGTAGGAATTTAAAGTTTGAATTAATGGGAGGCTTGTCTATGACGTGGCAACATGCTGATAATACCCGAGACACGACTAGCTAGCGAACGTCCGAATTACGGAGATTGTATTATATATATATATATATATATATAATTACATAAATATTAATATATATTTTACAGATTAAAACTACTGTTTTCTTGTATGATGGATCTTTATCCATATCCAATGGATTCTCAAGTTTGTAATATTGAATTAGCATCTTGTGAGTATTTATTTATTTTAAATGAATATTGTTAGTCTATATTATTACGTAATCAAACAATAAATAGCTATTTTTAATCTAAAAAATGTTTTTGAAGTAGAATTTTAAAATGTAAAATTAAAAAAAAGTATTATATAATAGGAGGTTTTCTTTGTATTAACGTGTTTAAATGTAGATAAATCTTTTTTGACGCTGATTGGTGGAAACAACAGCGATAGCCAAAAGTGGGCGGTGTTATGCTAATTTCTTACTTACTTCATCCAATAATCGTTAATATTTTTAAATATTTACATTAAAGCGGAGAAAACTTTCGATATAGAGTGGCCCTAAAGTCAGTTAACAAAAGAGCGGTTAAAATCGATTTAATGATTTAAACTAGTTTTAATCGTTGTTATATATTTAAAATACATTTTACTGAAATTATATAATAAAAAATAAAGATTATAATTGGAAATTATAAGGATTTTTTTTTGCTTTTCATATCACTGAATTTCATTTGATATTTAACTGTCAAATATTATACATTAATTGAATTTTTAAATTATTTATCTTACAGTTTCCAAAACTACAGAAGAATTACAATTGGAATGGTTTAAACCAGTACCAATTATATTGTATGAAAATTTAAAGTTGCCGCAATTTGAAATCGAACACATTAACACTTCCTTATGCAAAGAAAAGTTTCATATAGGTTAGCCATTCTTAAATAAATTATTAAGATATAAAATTATATTTAAAATATTTTTAGTCCATTCAAAATATTTAAATTCATTCTATTGTATTTCAGAAATTGTTTGTAGTAGAAAAAGCATTTTTTGACATTGATTTTCAGTTGAAAATTATAAATTATTTCTCGCCATTTTAAAATAAAATATTACTTGTTTAGATAGATTAATATAGTTTTTACGTTGCAATCGCATTGCAATAAACTAAAAAACTTTTATTCACGTATCTAACACGTAAAAGAGACTACCCGGAAGGCATTGANAAGGAGACAGTTATTGAAGTCCAAACTGTATCTGATTTGACGAGTTCTCTTCCTGAGTTTAGTGGTACTACTACAGAGAGTGCAGCAGAGACTAGCTGAAACCCAAGTTATTCCCGCTAGCCATCAGCAAACTGAGAGGAGCAGCAAAAAATTGGTATAAAGCAATTGATTACCAGCTTAACAATTGGACTAAATGGAAGACAAGCTTAAAAAGTGAATTTGGTAAAAGACTGACGTTGAGAATGTGGTGTGACAGAGTGAAAGAAAGAGAACAAAGACAAGATGAGTGTCTCGCAGATTATTTCTATGTTAAGCTGTGTTTGTTGCGTACCAACTGTCCTGTAAATGTTACCGAAGCTGACAAAATTTATTATTTGCTGGATTGAATAAAAAATAAGCAACACAGTTACTATTGCTATTTATTATGTGCACAGTATCGCAGAAGTACAGCGTACAGCACGCAAGATAGATGGGCAGGATGCATATGAAAACTCAATTTCAACAACCTTATAAGTTCCCAAATAATACAAATGTTCGAGTAAAGAATCCTGCTGTTGCAGTTGATGATATTAAACGTACAGACGAGAAGTCGATAAGAAGAGACCCCCCAAGTGGAATGCCCAGATGCCTTTACAAATGACCCGATGTTACAAATGTCAATAGTTATGACATCTAGCCAAGACATGTCCAAATGAAAATATTGCACAGACCAAAGAATACAACGCTGAAAGAGGAAGCTCATAATAGATTAAAAACAGCAAGAAACGAATACAAAAGAGCAACGCTTTAAACATCGATGCTAACATTTCTAAACTTCATAGCCCATATATTAATGTTGAAGTGTCATTGATAGAAGAGATAAGAGCCCTTGTTGATACAGGTTTATGTCGTACAATAATTCGTCGGGATCAGTTACCTGATGGTATAAGGATGTTAGATGACGAGTTTACTGATATCAGCACGACATAGGTGAAACCAATTGGATTTGTTGATCTACCTATTCGGTTGCAAGGCCAAATCACCACAGTGAAAACAGCATTGTTCGAGAACAATCCAGTTCCTTTGACTTTAGGAATAGATTGGATCGGCCAAGCAGGAGTGAAAATGACGTTGAGGAAAGATAAATGTGAAATAGTCACAAGAGATGGTAATATGATTCCAGCACAACCTCCCATTGAAAAAGCAACGCAAGAATCATGTTTGTTACTTCCTAGTGATGTAGCAATACATATAACGGAGAATAAGACTACGTTTGAAGACCAATGGAACTATCATTCCCAATCCGAGGAATTTTACGAACTAGCAAACCCAGAGGAGTTCATACTTCAAAGCACAGAGAGCCAGGAATCAATTTTAAATGAAAAACAAAGAAAGAAAATTGAACTGCTAATTAGACAATATGATCGTATATTGCAAAATGAACTGGGAGAATATAACAGAGTTCATCATCACATAGAACTGACAGACAAAACACCGGTAAGAAAACACCATACCATTATTCTTAGAGTGCTCGAGAATTTATTAATGCGAAAATAAAGGAAATGCTTTTGTCAAACATTATACGAAAGTCAAATTCATAGTATGCATCTCCAGTCGTATTAGCCAAACAACCTCATCATGTTACGACAAAAATAAAACTTTGTATTGATTATCGGGATCTGAATAGCAAGACAAAACGAGACTCATTTCCATTGCCATATATATATATATGTATATATATATATATATATATATATATATATATATTATTTTTATAATTTAAGGCTCAGCCTCTTAAAGAAAATGCTGAAAAACAAGATATAAAAGTAATCGAAGGGAAGATGAAGAGCAAAAAGATTGATCAAATCAGTCGGGTTGCATTCCCTATGATGTTTTTTATATTTAATCTTATTTACTGGCCATATTATTTGATCAGATTTTAATTTACTCGCCTACTATATTCTTCGTATGATTAATATTTATTTATTAAAGCAATAAATATTTGTTTAAAAAATATATATATATAGGCTATGCAGAATGAATTTGATGAGTAAAGTTATTTGAAGTTTAAAGAGATAAAATTAAATAAAAGGTTCTTATAATACAGGTTGTCCAGTTGCAGTTTTAATTATACAATGAAACCTTCATTTACGGACACTCCCGAATAGCGTATACCCCTACTTAACTAACATTTTTTTTACAATCCCCAGATCCTTCAAATAGGACACCCTTTATATTTATCTCTAAATAGCGGACAAACTTCTCGGTCTTGATGGTGTTCACTATTCGGAGGTTATACTGTATAGATAATCTTTATGAGTACAAACGAAAGAGAAGTTTCGTTGCAATTCTTAATTGTATTTGAATTAAAATATATGCTCTCGATATCAAATTAGTAGTGTCTTTCCCCTGTACATCATACTTTTCCATGATGTCATGCCATTCATGTATGTAACTCCATTCTGGAAAAAAATTTTGAATTGAAATCACGTGACTTCCGTTCTATACCGGAAGTTACTATATAACTAACCTAAGCTTTCCATATCTGGTTTCGACTTCTATCTATCTAACACTGTTCTTGAGATTAACGAAGGACAGACAAGAAGATAAACGACAGTGGGAATTTATAGGTCTACAAGTTTTGTCAGACTAAATCAATAGACTTTTCCATAGAACGAAAGAGTAAAGGAAAAAGGCGAAAGAAATGTTAGAGATAGAGAAATCTCATTAACATGGCAACTGCTCTCTGAAGGAGCCGAATTCGAGTTTGGGCCGGATGTCCTAGACACATCGCATCCCATCGTTTATTTTCTGGCCACTTTACTTGCAAACCTAACCTAATCTTTTACTAAAAATAATGCCCTCTTAGTGTCTGCAAAGCAGGAAGACTCATTTAAAAAGAAAGAAAGAAACTATAGCTAACTAGAGATGTGATTGATCGCGAAATGAACAAAATCAATATAGACACGCCTACATTTATAAGATTCGATTTCATCAACCAATCGTTGTTAATTTACATTTCAAATGATTTCTTACTTAAAGTGCAGAGGACAGCCTATGTAATAGGAACTTTTAACCTAATTTCTGCTTTTTTTTTTACGCATTTCTCAATGTTACTGCACTTATACAAAGTCTATTATGTGAAATATTTCTTTTGTGTACAAATTTACAGTTTATGTATATTATTATATTATACATTAATTCTGTACACTTTTATATGTTTAAAAATAAATGTTATTATAAATAATATATAATATACTAAACAATATTTTTGAAATTAACTGTTGATAATAATGTGATTTATCTGCTTTTATTGTATTAACAAATGTAAAATGATATCAAATATATAAATGAGTAACATTAAAATATTATATTTACTGTTAAATGCTGTTAGTAATTTAACTATAATATTATTTAATTAACGCTATACACGATTTACAATTAACGTATTATAAAATTATTATTTTAAATTAAATAAATTAATAAAATTATAAATAATTTATATAATATAAATAAACTTTAATTAAATTAAAATTTGCAATTAAGAAGAATAATATTAAAAATTTATATTAATTGAAATAGAAGATAAATTATTATTATTTGAGAACACTTAAAATAATTAAAGAATGCTTTTAAGGGAATAGCGGCTAATTTCTTCACGGAATTTTCTCATTTAAAATGCTAAATAATTAAGTTTAATGCTGTAAATTATCAGATTTAAGAAATTATTTTATTATAGTAAAAATAATTATTTCATTGACAAAAAACTATACATTTTATTTTAATTATTAATTTTGTATTGATGTATTTCAAAAATATTTAAATGTTAATTAATCTATACATATAAAAATCAAATTATGTACAGTATGTATGTATTAGGTAGAGACTTCTACAATGATTAACGTATTTGCATCAAATTTGGCATGAATATTCTTCGATTCCCTATGTCCCACACCAACTGTCCCTAAAGCTGACACCCTCTTAACTTATTAATGAACGTTTATTAGTTAAAGGGTTGTATACTGTTTAACGTATCTGCTTGGTATGAATATTCTTCAACACCCTAGAACAAATACCGTGGGGTCTTACCTCAACTACCACTAAAGCCCATCCTTCTTAACAATTTTTATTGTTTTCAAACCATTGTTTTTATTAACCTCTCCTAACCCAATTTTACCATCTTCCACCCTCCCAAAACATCCGAGCAATGCCGGGCACACGAAAAAACAAAATAAATTCTAGTTTATTATCAATATTTTAACCACATATGTGGTTTCAGCCTGCTTGAGAAGTTTTAAATAACTTTTTTCAAACTTACAATGAGATTTCTTTATTTTGCTGAAAAATTCTAATAAATTTATTTATTTATTTTTCACTTAATTTAATAAATATAAACTTATGTTTCGAGAAGATTTTACTCATCTGGCAAATCAAATATTTGCCTGATGAGTAAAAGATTTAGTTTAAGGTTAATTACAAAATCGGAGAAAACATCGATTGGGTTTCTTCTAAGGAAATTCTTTGTTCATTTTATTCAGGAAATTGATGATAGGATATCCTTTCTTAACTTTAAGGAAGTTTATTTTAATTTTAATTTTTTTTTTATTTTTGAAAGTTTAGGGACCGGAAATCTGTATTTTTAAATAAATAATTTCATAATAAAAGATCTGCGTGATATCCGTTGTATTCAGACGAATAAACAAACAACAGTTTTGAATTTTTTTAAAAA